TGACTGCGTAAAACAAAGCAGAGTTTTTCCACAGATCTACGTACTTCTTCTAGGATATCATCATATACAAAGCGATTGGAGAAACCTGATTCGACTGAAAAAAAACATATACAGGATGAGCAGAATAAGTAGGGTGGATTAAATATTCAAGAAACATATACAGAATGAGTCATAAAACTCGAGTCGAATGAATTATTTGAAAACATATACAGGGAGTAGAAAAAAAATCTAAAATTTATTACCACTCATTCAAATAATTACGAAAAAACAAACTATAGAACTACCATGAACCCAATCACGATGTAATTCAATCAAATGGATGATAGATGACATGACAGCATATGACCGGGGCAGATAACAAACGATCGAATAGCAGTTTCTATATACAGAAACATAGTCAGAGTCTTGAAATTCTCCATACTTATAATGATAATATTAGACATCAGGCGAACTCAGCATACCTATACCCAGTAAAAACATCATTTTACCGTCCACTTTGAACAACTCTTTAGCAAAACTCGTTTTCCTATAGAAGTTTTCAGAGGTATTCAGGCTGAAAAAATCATGTTTGAGTTGAATAGTAAAAAAATATACAGGACGACCCATAATTCATGGATCGAAAAAATAATACAGAGTTAAACTGCAATAAAAATATATGATGTCGCTCTTCACGGAACAACATACAGAGTGCTCCATAATGCACTGAACAAAAATCAGGTGCTTGAGCTGCAAAAAGGGCATTCCATTCCACTTTACCAACAAAAATTCGATAGATGACAGTTCACGTATGATAAACGACAGCATAATAGGGCGTTGAATAGCAGTTTAGGTGCTAGCCCAGCAAAACATATTAGATTGATAGATGTTATCAGGCTACTCGCTAGATAGCAAAATACGCGGTGTCGCGAAATCTTGCATCAAAGTGTGCTCAATGCAAATCCAAATAATATATAACAATTCCTGAGCCTGACTCAACCCAAAAACGGGTTAGTGCCGCTAGTGGCTAAGGGAATATTGAAAAAACAGCCTGCGCAGAGATACTCTAGCACTCTATCAGCAAGGTACTCACATTTATTTCATAGCAAATGATTGGTATCTCAAGTCTGTGGGCCTTTCAGCCAAAACTCGCGATGCGAGATTTCATACACAACTTTTTGATTACTTGTATCTATATAGAAGATCTATATAGGAAAAAATATAAAGCATAAAGCACTTTTACCTTTCTTTTCCATATAGCCTCGATGAGAATCCGAATAATGAATGGGAATAGTGAAAAAACAATTTAAATAAAACAAAAATCGATTAACCCTATTTCCATACACAATTCTTTGAAAAGCGAACACCACTGCACAAATTCATACATAATATTTTTAGAAAAACAGCGCGATAGAGGAATTTTACATACGCGTCGATATTCAAGACTGAAAATAATGTTGAATTACTATTCGGAATACAGAGACTAGAAACTCTGCATTATAGATAAGAGCTTCCTGTTTCATGATTATAGATAACAAAATGTATGATTTCAAGAAAAAAACACAAATTTGTTATCGAACATAAAATATGGGAAAACTCTACTGGCTTTATTTTTTCAATGACGTTTGGGAAAAACACATTTCTGAAGGCTGATTTGAGGCTAAAAAGTGGTTGGATTTATGAAAAAACAGGAAACGACTAACATATAAAAGGATAATTTCGTACAGCAGACTGAAAAAAAGAAGTGTATTAGTGTAGAAGCACCGGTAAGTTGAGCATTTTATATTATTTAGGAAATATCGACTGATCCATAGGCGGCCCTTTTATTTTATAATGTAAGAACTTGGACAGCTTGAGAATAATTTCTGTTTTCACACATCAAAAATAGCGAGTTTCTTTAGTCTCCAGTAGAGTTCCAAGTCACTCAAACTGAAGTGAATGTGAAACCTCTTTTATTATGAACCTTTTATTAAATTTTGTTATTATGGAGACATTAGGTAATAACGCCCAGCTTCCACAAACTGTATTCACTTCTGTGTAATACAGCTTTCGGTTATATTTTTTTCATGAGTGCTCTTTTTGCTGCACCATTTCCATTGAACTTTACACCTGATGTATACCTATTCATCTATTTTGAGCGGATTTTAGAAGCCATTCATAATGCATAATGTTCTCTAAGATAAGTTTACCTCAGTCAATTCATTGTGACATATTGAATTTTATGTTTTTCTTCTCACAATGATAACAATGAGATTCTTAAGTACTTATCAGACTCTATATGTATTTTTAGGAGAGCTCATCTCGCTGTACCATTTTCTTCGGACTTTACACCTCTATACCTGTACATCTTTTTCGAGCATAATTTCTACAGATTTGCGGCTAAGAGGTGAGTGACTTAGCTTTTATATATTATTGAACAAGATCTTGAAATTTAGAAATAAAGTTCCTCAACATTTTCTCTCTCAAGACTATTCAATTATCTCTGTACAAAGTGTTTTTTGCTCAGTTTTCGACACATCAATACATAATATTCCCAGGCTACATATTTATATCCAATCAAAATTGTAAAAAATCAAGTACACCACTTCAATACACTTTAAATGTCTATATAGGAACCATTCGATAATTCGATTAAATATTTATATTTATTTCAATGTCACTTCTAACATACATCATCTATTTTAAGCATAAGGAAGATCTGAGATTAAATATACCTGCCTACTCATTCCCGATAATATTTGTAACCTGTTGTATTCGTACATGTTGTATTCAGATACCGTTGTTGCTATTAGCGGCATTATATAGTAGCATCCATTTGTACACGCAGTATGAATATTAAGAGCAATTTTATTTGGTTTTGAGAGTTGCGCGAAATTCTCAAAATAATTCCGAAACAACTTCTTCGCTGATGCTCACGACCATATTATAATCATCATTCCTTCCTTTCTGTTCTGTGTAGGCTTTGTTACTTACTCCGTGCATTTTATTCGAATCCGCTTCCTGAAAAATCACCTCTTCATAATCAATTAACATAGCCATGAGCGAGAATAATTGACATATTGTACCCTTTTTCTGGAAAGAATAATGAACATTTTCTAAACATCACAGAGAAACATTAAAAAAAACAGCATCAAAATGCGTACGGTATTCAACCGGATTATTAGGAAATCTCCATAATCAATATAAGTATAATAAGTAGGTACTTACCAATGTTGAAGCTTTATAACATAGATATTATTACAACTTCCATGTACCTACCTATATTTATGAATTTGAAGGCGGAACTATAAGGTTAGATATGTTTTTCAATTAATTTCCAAAACCATATGAAGAATAACGATAGTGCAATATCGCGATATACCACTAACAAAGAAACATATTATACAAGGTGTTCCCAGAACAACATTGCACCGGGGTGAACTAGACACCGAAATAGACTGATTGAAATCAAATTACCTCTATACGAAAATGCGCCGTTGAGCCATGAGAGGATGCAATTAAGAATAATTTCATTTACAGATTTTCCTGAATATTTTTAAATTATTCAAAAGTACTGCTCTAAAATTTATTGGACAATTTTCTATCTGCGCTTTTCCATACTTGTTGATAATGTTAGGATTACTATGTTTCACAAATTTCTACCTCATTTGTGTTGAGTTATTGATCGCGCACAATGTCCATTTTCGACATTTCATTAAAGATACTAAAAACAAAAAATAATAGAAAAAAGTTCAAGCTGCGCTTTCATAAGTACAAGAATCTCCTAAAACATATAGATTTTTCCATTTCCAATATACAGGATGATCTAGGTTTGAGCTAAGATGTTGCAACAATTTCCAGATGAAGTACACTGTAATAATGATGAGAAAAAGTAAATATACTAGGTGGTCTATACGTTCGAGTTAAGATGCTGTAACGTTGATGAAGTACACTGTAATAATGATGAGAAAAAGAAGTAAATATACTGGGTGGTCTATACGTTCGAGTTAAGATGCTGTAACGTTTTTTCTAATGGATCACCCTATATATTATCCAATTTCCTTGGAAAGTTAGATTCATAGGGTTTCCGATGTGCCTAATGTGCTCTCGTTTAAAATTGAGGTAATTACATCATTGCGTATATCATCTTCAATATCTCAAGCAATTACATTAGTTAAAATCAGCAAGCTGAAGAGTTTTGCTGAAGTCATAGAAAACGCGTAGTATATAACTCACACAGAATGCTCGTATGATTTAACTCATGCAGCATACTTGAGTGCTTTCATTCACTTTCCATCCCGTATCCTTCGGGTTTTGGCCTTTTAGGTCTACAATTTTATTCTACGAATATCACTTTTATTTACAAAATATTTCAGTTTCGCTGTATCAAGCAACATTATAGCAGCCCTGCAGGTTGCCGATTGGTATAATTTGCTAACGATTGACCAACGTACATTTCAGGTAAGTGTCTTTCAAGGAATAATTAATGAAAAACCTAAAATTCAAACTCCCACCCTAACGATGTCTATTAGATGAATCATTCTCGATTTTAACCAGTAATAAAACCTACTGATCAACTTATATCTATATCGCGAAAACGAGAATCAAAGATCATTCCTTGAAGTAATAGCCTGATGAAGGATCACTCTATTGAAATAGAAACATAGTTTTCTCAAGTTCGCCTGGAAATAACTTATTACTTCCAAATGAAGAGAAATCTGTAGCACCAATGTTTCCACGCCATTCTAGACATTTTTCGATTGAGCAGTTTTGGTACTATTGAAATTATAATAGCGCGCCAATTTAGTGATGTGCCTGAGGGTGGCTTTATAAAAACTTTTAACATTCAACATTTAACATTCAGCACTTTAAGATTTAAGAAATAATGAATTCATGTGTTATAAAAATATTTAACATTTAAAGTTCAGGTAAAGCTTTGACATTACTGAAATCTGATCTTTGACACAGAACTGACGAAACATGTGTCAGAATTCACAAAAGTCACAGAATTAGAATGGTAGATGTCTGTTGTCTTTGACTATTTAGTTTGTTTACAAGATCATTCTTTTAAAACAACTTTCGTTTTTTAATAATTTGCTTGTTTGGAGTTCTTGATTTTCAACTTGATCATGGACGATGGACTTTTAATTGAGCAGGTTGAAAAGTTCAGACATATTTACGATAAAAGAAGTAGTTTGTTCAAGAACAAATTAGCAAGGGAAAATGCCTGGAAAACCATTGGGCATATCTTGGAATGTGATGGTATGTATATCAAATATTTACTACAACTTTTATGTACTTTATTGTTGATTCTCTTAATTTATTAGCTGAACAGTGTGAGCAAAGGTGGAATGTCTTGCGGAATAAATATGCTGCTCTAAAGCGACAAAAACCCCCATCTGGTTCCCAAGCATCTACTGTATCTTGGCCATATTTTGATGCCATGAAATTTCTGGACCCATTCACCCTAACCAGGGTCAGAAGGTTGAGATAAAATAATGTGAAATATTTAAATCTCTGTACTTATTGTTTTTACATTCAAGGATATCTTCATTGAAACAGTCCTCCCAAAGTTCATCATCCACCCAGAGTTCATCCCAGAGTGATCTATGGCCAGGGATGTATGAAATGACTCAGCCAGACATTGTAGTGGAGGAATTAGATGGGTCACAAATTGTTGATGCTCCTGAAGAGGAATTAGAGAACATTGCTCCAAGTTCCCCAGCACCCAATGTCATATTCCAAACACCCACAATAAAAAGAAAATATCCAGAAGAAGGAAAATCCTTGAAAAAGAAGAATGATCCTGTTGCTGAATCAATGTCAATGGCATTCAATTCTTTGTCGGATTCATTAAATAGTTATGTAAGTATCAAAAATCAACTAAAGGACATAGATCCTTCTGATAAATTGTTTGGAGAAAGCATTGCTGCAGATTTGTCAAGAATTAAAAGAATGAGTGAGAAAATGTTTGTAAAACAACAAATTTATAGTTTTTTACATGAATATTTTAATAGGGTAGAAAGAGATTGAAAAAATATCAAGTATTAATGTTATGATTGTGTTATTGAGGAACATTTTTTATTTTATATATATACTATATATATAGGTACCTGATTTTATTTTACATATTATTTAATGTATTTTTTTTTATTTTCATGAAGTTTATTTTATTTTTATTTTATATTTTGGAAAATATGAGGTTGAAGTGTTAATATTATTAGTGAGAAAAACATTTTTTATTTATGTAGGTACCTGACTTAATTTTACACATTTTTAAATGGAATACTTTTTTAATTATATGTAGTTGATTTCAATTTTTTGTTTATATTTTCTCTCAATATTTCATGTTGATGAAAATATATTCTTTAGTTTACACAGATATTTTTATTGTACCTAGCTTGCACTTGTATACTTCCAGTTGTCATTTTCATAAATAATATAACAAAAATACAAATTTATACATGGATGCCAAATTATCAAATGTGAAAGATGTTCAAAGAAATAACTACAAACATACCTACTGTTCTACATTTTTATTTAAATATTCATTTCAAAAGTTGTTGGATATCCACCATAATGAGCTCTATTCCATTGAGTTGGAATGGACCCTTCAGGAGTTGAAAAGTATTCAGCCAACTCATCTCTATTCCTCTGCACATTCCTGCTAGAGTTGTTTGAACCAAAATTCCTAATTCCTCTAAATCTAAATGTATCTTGTCTCCACTGACCTTCAATAAAATTACCATCCACATCTATTTCATCCTCATATCCTGGTGGACAATATTTGTCATTCTGATCTGAAGACATTTTGATAAAATTATGTAATACAACTGTAGCACACACAATTTTTTTGACTAAATCTTCTTGGGCTATGATGGTTTGACGCAATATTCGAAATCTTTGTGCCAGTATTCCAAATGCACACTCAATGGTGTTTCGGGCCCTGGATAATCTCAAATTAAAGATATTCTTATATTCAGGAAGATATTTTCCTGGATATGGTCTCATGATATTTTTATGCAAGGGAAATGCCTGGTCAGCACAAAAAAAATAAGGAAGCTGGATATTACTCCTTGGCAATATTCCAAGTTGAGGAATATCCAGTTGTTCATTGAACAACTTCTGGCCAAAAAGTGAGTTCCTAAAAACATTGCCATCATGGTTTGATCCTGGGCAGCCTATATCAATGAAAAGAAATTTATGTGAAGCATCACAAATAGCCATCAATACAATACTAAATGTTTTTTTGTATGAAAAATATTCGCTTCCAGCATGTTTGGGATTTTGAATTTGGATGTGTTTCCCATCAACTGCACCTATGCAGTTTGGCATATTCCATTTTTTATAGAATTCTTCTGAAATTTTTTGCCATTCGATTTTTTCCGGAAAAACTATGGGACTCAGAACTTTCCAGAGTGCATCACATGTTTCCTCTAATATTTTATGAACTGTTGTTAGTCCAACATGATTGTCCCAAGCAATCTGCTGCATGGAACATCCCTCTGAGAGGTAACTGGAATTTAACTCTGTGAATTTTTGGTATCAGTTATAAATTTATACCTACTGCAAAGTTATCATGAGACGCTGCTTCACTGAAATTGGATCACCTCGTGAATCTTTCACTAAATATGGGTATAGTAGTTCCACCAAGTCATTGAATAAATCAGTTGACATCCTTGTATACTTGAAAAATTGATTTTCATCCAAATTTTCCATCATTTTCAAATAGAAATGGAATTGGGAATGAGTATTCCTCTGCCTGTTGATAGGTCTAATTTTATACCTCCTATTTCGCCGTTTCTTTTTAACAAGAGTTAAATAAACTCCAAACGCCGAAATCATTAGGACACTTGTTAGAGTAATGATCCCCATAGCATATAAATTCAATTTTATTCCTATTTTCTTCAATTAGGTATTATATGAATGTAAACAACTGCATGAATATCTTAACCTCAAACGATTATGAATTGATTAATTGCGGGAAAAGTTATGTCACATGTCAGTCACATGACTTTGTTGAACATGCGCACGTCCAATTTTCATTTATGCTCATTTAAAACACATATCTTAAGTTGAAAGTTGGCCAACTTCTTAAATTTTAAGTTTAAAATCATAAATCTTAGATGGTTTTATAACCATACTGATGTGATTCCTATGTTTCAACTGTTCTAAATGTTAAATCTTGGGTGTTGAATGATAAATTTTAGGCCTTAAAGTTTTTTATAAAGTCACCCTGACTGTTTTTAACATAGTGTATTAAACATAGGCAAAGGATATTTCAAAGGCGAGTGAAAATTATTCTTTTTAAATTTATGAATTCATATTGATTTGTATGTGTCATAATTAGCCTTAATTTGCATTAAGATCATTTGAAACTGATGTTTACTGAAATTTCAAAGTGAAAAGTCGGTGGCCGGTTACAAGATATTTATTTTCATGAAATTCCAGTGTCCGACTACTGGCAAAGAAGAACACAATTTGTTGTTTCTTTTGGTTTATTGATAATATGATCTATTGAGCATTTCTTTCATGCATCACATGATATGATTCTTTTGTAAAACTCAGTCCACCCTATACATTGAGAGGCTTATATGAAAAATAGTCTTCATGTGTACATATTATATTCAAGCATTGTTATGCATTTTATCTGCCACTGAATCCGCCGAATATTTCAAAATCTGATACTCTTACAATAGATGAGCTATAGACAACAATTAACGAGTTTTTCACGAAATCAACAAACTACCGAAATCAAACAGCTGTTCAAGTTGGAGCGTTCAAACAGGATGCCGTTATCTGCTTGGTTGTTCTATATTTGGCGTATACAGAAAATCATATTCTTTCAAAGCCTAGAAAGATGATTAAATCAGCTGAGTTATAGACTAAAATTAACGGATAATAAAGGAAATAATCCTATTATTATTGATTCTCTTATCGTTCCATATGAGATACAAGGAACTATCGAAATCACACAAAAAACAGCTGTTCAAGCTGAAACAAGAGCTGTTTTTAGTCCTAGACCTAATATTCAATATCTCACACTAAAAAATATTTCTGCTATACAGGGTGGGTCAGCAAGAAATGTCGCTACCTCGTTTTTCATTTTTGTGACTCTTAGAGTGATTATTATTGTAAAAAATGAGTCAGTGAGTAAACATCGCACCTTTTTAGTCAATTATCTTTTACAGACATACACAGATTGGCAATGGAGAATATAAAATTATTTTATGGATCAAAAGCTGCCAAGAAAATTGGGCAATTGAATGTGAAAGATGATAACGTTATGACAGATATTTTGATGAATCAGTGGTACGAAGATCAGGATATATCGTGTTATATACTTTATGTGGATGGTTTTCCTACATCTTTTACGCTGATATCTCATATGAACTTTGACCCATTGGGCGAACATACTAGACCTAAAACTCTCAATTTTATTTACACCATAATGGAGTATCGTAGAAGAGGATTCGCATCCAAACTGATACTGCACATCAAGAAGCATAATCAATTTTCAGCTTTTTGCTCCAATATTGAATCAGAAAAATTATTCGAGAAATGCGAATGTATAAATTATGGTGATATGAATGGTTCTGTGATGTATAGATATCCATAATAAAAAAGATTTAAGAAAATTTTATGATTTTATTATACTACGACTACGAGGGTGTTTCGTTGCATAGTGATCTCTCATAATAGCTAATGATCATGTCGCATGTTAAATAAAAGACGGATAATTTCGACATCATTTATTTCTTAGATATTATACCAACATTTTCAAGTTCAGTAAGAATAAAGGCGATCTCGTTGTTGTTCTTATCTGATTCCATTAAATATCTCAGTCTATCCACCAAGATATTCGGATCTGTCCATTCATCTAAAATATTGTACTCTTCATTCCCAATACTGGCTTCAGGCTCCACGCTCGACTTTGGACGTTTAGGCTTGGTCTTATTTTTGAAGAGGGGTCTGATAATTTTATCGAATTTCTCCTTATCAGCTTGTCCTCGTAATCGCCCTAATTGATCTCTATGAATAGAGCTGATTTCTAGCATCTGTTTATACATCTGGTGATCCAGAGGCGTGTAATTTCGAGGGTTCTTGGAAAATAATAATTCCAAAAGACCCAGAGTACTTTTAAAATCGACATTATCTACGCCTATGTATTGATCCTCAAAGCGTAGATTCTTATGTCCAAGTAACCATCTGCCGTCAAGATATTTCGGTCCATAAGCATTATCATAATCTGCACAGTGATATTTATCTAATGCTTGCTCTGATGAATGTGGCTTAGACTCCATGATGTCAACGCTATGGTGTCTGATATACAACTGAAGACTCTTGAATACCTCTGAAGACATCTGAATACCTCTGAAGACATCTGAATACCTCTGAAGACATCTGAATACCTCTGAAGGCGCGATCTGAAGACTTCTGAAGACATCTGAAGACTTCTGAATACCTCTGAAGGCGTGATCTGAAGACTTCTGAAGACATCTGAATACCTCTGAATGCTTCTAAAGGTGTGATCTGAAGACTTCTGAATCCATTAACTCTGCCATCTGCTAATCAGCTAGGTTATTCGAATTGGTGGCGTCCACTCTATGGGCATTCATCATATGGTGGTCAAGAATTTCCCACATTTCTCACACAATGCCTGGTGTCGATTATAGCGAAATTTTCGCTTTTTAAAACTTTCCCACGTTCTATTGATGTTGAAAGCAATCCGCTCTCCAGTATTGAGACACTCTGTTATAAAACAATTTCCACAAAGTTCTCGTACCGTTTTCGCTTCTTGATGACAGCGCTCGCAAATATTCGTCATAACTACTCTGCAGTCGAATGTGGAATGATCTACTGGATAGTGAAATAAGTAATAATGATTACAGCGTCGATTATATAATGATCATGATATTAGCTTCGAGCAACATTTTTACTATATTAGATTTCAGATATTTCCGTATACCTATTATTTTCCGTTTTTCCCGTTTCGAATTATTATTTCGAACGATTCATGAAACAGATAAGTTAAATAATTAGTCTAGTCGAGTCATTTTTCAAAATAT